GGAAGCGGGGTGGCCTGGGGCCGGCGGCGGGGACCTGCCCGCAGCTCTGCCTGCCCGTGCTGCGCCTTGCACAGCAGAGGTGCAGGCGGGGCAGAGGTCTGAGCAGCCCGGCATCCCCTGCATTTCACGGGAAGGTTTTCAGCCCTTTCGAGCACGAGCGTCTCTTGCGGTTCAGGAGCGGAGGGACAGGGCGGGCGGTGCTGGGGCTGATGAGACAGGAGCAGCAATTATTCCCCGGCCTGAGACCACTTAAGTAAACTGCAGAGCTGGTTTAGCTCTGGCAACCCATTCGCCAAAGGAATTTAAATGAAGAGAAAACACCTTCCTGGTATTTCCTTTGGTTTCTTATTTGCCTTGAGATAAATTTTAAAACCACTCTCTAGAGATGCTTCTGTTTCCTCTGTGAAATCCCGTTGCAGCAGAGGGGTGAGTGGCTGCTTGGGCTGCCAGGCTCCCCATTTGGGTCTTTCTGAAGCCCTTTACAAGGCAGGTGCCACGTCTCTCATGCCTTAAGAAACACAAGCAGTTGTTACAGGTTTGAAATTTCCTGTACTCCTCTTTTATGTGATGAGGAAATTGCTAAAAGCATCAAATTCCACAGGTCAAAACCCTTTTATTAACTTTTCCATTTTCTTCCTCTCTTTCCCCCCCCCCCCGGTTAAGTGGGTGTTTGGAGCTCATTCTCCCATCCTAGGGTTTTCACCTTCCTCAAGTGTTGAATTTGTTCCTGTTTTCCCACCTGTGCACACATCCCCGGGCCCACCCCGTGCTGGGAAGAACTGGCTCGAGAAAAGGCTGCCCAGCTGCAAGGTAAGGCTGAGCCTGGTGTCCTCGTGGGCTTGTTTTGAGGCTGCAGTGTATGAAGTGCATGAGCTGACAAATGCTTTGTGAGCTGGGGAGGTGTGGGAAAGGTCAGGAGCTTGTCAGGCAAAACCCCAGGGGGGAGGAAAGTTGTAAGGGCTGGTGAATGGAGGTTCCTCCAGCTGTGCAGCATCTTCTCTTTGCTGAAGTTATCAAAAGGCTAAAATGCCTTCAGTTTTTATCTTTGCTACTTGGAGTGGAATGTGCTGATTTTACTAAGGATGTGATTAGCAGAGCTTTCCATTTTCCCTTCCTTCTTGGTGCCTCCACAAGGGCTGGTGTCCTGGTTTGAGCCAGGATGAAGCCAATTTTTCTTTTTACTGATTTTTTTTTTTCCTTCAGTGAGCTTTCTTGTAACTAGCACCAGTGTGTTCTGCTGGGCTGATAAGACAGTGGAACACACCAGTGTGTCCCTGCCATCCCACCCACAGCTCCCTCCATCTCTGCACTTCCCACCCAAACCAGGCTTTGGGATTTTGCCCCATCCCCTCCGTGGAGCAGCTGAAGCCTCCGAGCTGCAGGCAGGCTTGGACAGGCTGCCTTCAGCTTTTCTTCCCTTTTGGTGCTGCTGCATCAGCTGATTAGTGGTGTTAAAAGCCCATTAGCTGGCAGCTGGTCAGCTAACTCAGCCTGAAACCTCTGGGAGGCAGAAATCCATCTATTTTTGCGGGTTTGTCACTGAACTGAGAGACTACCTGTGTTGTAATAGTGAGTCAAATGTGCTTTATTCTCACTTCTATTTCAAAGTTTTGCAGCTCAAGCCTTGACACTCTTTTATTTATTTATGCTGGACAGATATACTTGAATAATGCATTTGCTCTGGATTCAGCATGGATGCATCCTGAGGAATCAAGGCTCTTCCAGGGAAATGAGAAACCTCTGTTACTGACCAATCAAGTAGCTATGGCTCTAGCCAGGCCAGCTGCTGCCTCCAGGCCTCTTCCCACCGTGGTGCTGACACCCCAGCTGATACCAGGTCAGGAGGACATAAATAATTAAGTGTTTTTATGTGGGGGTTTTTTGTTAGCTTGGGTTGTTGTGTTTTGTTTTTTTTCTTTTAGTGCATCTTCCAGAGCTGCATAAGCCATTCTCCAAAGCAGGGATTTGATTCCACTCAGCTGGAAATCTCTTGCTTGCTCTGAACCTTGATGGCAAAGTGCATTTCATCCTCTAAATTACTTTCAAAGACAGAAAAGAGCATGTGTAGTTAAAACAGATTGTAACAGACTATTCCATAGCTGGCACTTGACTTCCAGGCTGAAGGGGCAGCCACTCCCAACATGCTGGACTTACTTTCCAACAAGAAATTGCCAACACAGTTCATGTATAATTCCCCTGCTGGCTGCTAATTTTAAGCATTTGGTGTGGTCTGTGTAGGCAGCAATCAAGGGAGAAGAGCCATTGATCAGTCATCTCGTTAGGACTCGGTTAAGCACAGCAATGTTTGTGAAATAAATCCCCTTAATCTGCATAACTCAGGTATGTCACAGCTGTTAGCAGGACAGCTAAGCTTTGCTCTTGGAAGAGAACTGACAATCCATGGCTGTAAAGCTGAGTCTCTGCTTTGGTGCTGCAGGAGAGGTTTGAAATAGCAGTTGTCCCATGGGATGAGTTCAGCTGTAAAATGCTCCTGATGTTTAAAGCCCAATATACGACGTTCCCAACGAGGATGTGCTTGGTGTCCTGTTGTCCTTGCTTCTGTCTCTGGGAGCTGGAAGGTGATGAGCTGGGGGGGCAGCAGAGCCCCTTCTGCACCTGCAGAGGCTCTTGTGTTTTGCCAGTGATGCCCAGACTCAGCACAGCCTGCTGGAAGAGATCCTTCCCGTTTGGGTTCGTTTGCCAGACACGTTAATTAGCAGTGAATATTGTGCTGTGTTGAGCCAGGCTGAGCCACTCAAGTGCATTCCATGTCTTGGTGGCTGAGCAGAGGGGGGCAGTAAGATGCCTTCTCCTGCCAGCATGGCCTGGTCCTTGCTGGGGCTGGGAGTGCTGGGGGTGGGTGCATTCCTCTGGGATGCCCTGGGGAATAGCTGTGCACTCAGGATGAGCCCTTCCAGGCGTGGCTTGAAGGACAGGAGACGGTGAGGGAGGTGTTTTGGGGCAGAGCAGTAACTGCACGTTGCTTGGTTTTGTGTGTTTAAAATGTTTTAAACAGGGATGTTTGGGCCCGTACAGTGCTGCAGACACACAGCATCCCTGGCAGGGGGTTAGGGACATGTGCCTGGCAGCACAGGGGTTTTCCCAGTGCTGGTGCCACACGTGTAGTCTACAAGTAGCACAGGGAAAAGATTTTTCTTTTCCTCTTGGACCATGTAAGCACACACAAGCCTGTTTTCCCAGGAGATTTCAGGTGGCTCCAGCTGCCCCTCCAGGATCGTGCTCAGCACGGGCTGCCCCCTCCTCAGAACCCCCTGAGCTCCCCCTCGGGTGGGAGAGGTGCAGGGAGGAACACAGAGACACCCAACCATCTTTCTAAATCTTCCCATCCCTCTTAAAATCTGATTTCTGATGGATGCCATCAATGCTAATCCAATAGCATCCCCAGAAGCTGCTTCTGGGAACTGTTACGGTAGCACTTGATGTATATTTCCTATATAATCTTTACACTTAATATGAAGAGTAATAAAAATGTTGAGAGCAAATTGCTTAGTTAAGTGCTTTAAAAGGAGAAGTTAATAAGCTTCTGCAGGCTCTGTGGCTGTACCCTCTCTGAAAGCCTGTTGGGTGGCAGGTTTGCCTGCTCGCTATCAGTGCTGGTACAAGTGTGTTCTCAGGCTATCAGCAGTGTCACAGAGCTCCAGGCACTGGGGTGGCTGGTAATGCACATGATTTAACAGCTGGGAGCTCCAGCTACTCAAACATATTCTACCTTGTAAGAAAGAGAAGCAGCTATTCTTCCCACACATGCTCTAAAAAAAAATGAATTAATGTGCTCACACTGACCATTTTGTGCATTTACAGCCAATTGTGATGTTTTGCTTTCCCACCTAGGCATGATAGCTGGTTTTGTGTCTCCTAGGTATTTTTGCAGAGAGGGGATTAATGTTTTTGTCTCCCATGTTGTGCCCTCTGCCTGGCGGGTGGAGTCAGGGCTGGTTTGGTCAGAGGTGCCTGTGTGGCATCTGTGTGTCCTGCACAGCCCCGTGTGGTTGGTGCCTGCTGGATGTGGGCTGAGGGAAGGGTGTCACCACCAGCAGGATCTGTCAGGTGAAAGCTGTAGCCCTGTGGTACATGATGTTCCATCCTTTTGCTGTTAGTGATGCTGTTTAGACGTTTGCAGGTGTGTTAGTAAGGGTTGGACTTGAGGATCTTAGAAGTCTTTTCCAACCAAAACAATTACATGGTTCTTTGATCTTGCAGTTTGAGTCTCAGCTTATAGACCTGGAAATCTGTGTGTGCCTTCTGCTTGCTGGAGGGGCTGGGAAATGCCAGATCAGCCACTCTGTGACTCCTTAATTGTGTGCACAGTCTTGGCTCACCCAGGATTCAGTGTTTGCAGGGACCAGGAGCTTGCTGGTTCTCCAGGGAATGTTGGTGAGATCCTAAACATAGCAGGACATGGGTGTTCCAGTGGAACCAGTAATTGTTACTGAGTTCCTTACTAAAGACCATAATACTCTGCAGGCCACTTCAAGGCATCATTCAATAAAATCAACACTTAAAGGGCTCCTATAAGAAAGATGCAGACAAACGTTTCAGCAGGGTCTGTAGTGATAGGACAAGGGGTGATGGTTTTAAACTGAAGAGAGGAAATTTAGACTAGACATAGGGAAGACATTTTTGATAATGAGAAGGGTAAGACTCTTGGCTCAGGTTGCCCAGAGAGGTGGCAGACATCCCATCCCTGGAAACATTAGAGGTCAGGTTGGATGGGGCTTGGAGCCACCTCATCTAGCTGAAGATGTCCCTGCTCACAGCAGGGCAGTTGGACTAGAAGGCCTTTAAAGTTCCTTTTCAACCCAAACCACTCTGGGAATCGTTGATCATGCTTAGAGGAGATTATCTGTGTGCAGGCTCAGGAATTCCATAGGGAGATCCACACCTGAACCAAGTCCTGGCCACAACCAGGGCTGCAGGTGCACAGAAGTTGCTCCTGCTCTTGTTGCCTGTGGCTGATTGAATAAACACCCTCTGGAGTTTATAGGGGTGAAAGTAACAGGCAATTGTTCAGCAGCAATTGGAGACCTGTGTAGGGCAGAACTGCACCAATATTTTTCATAGCAAGTGTCAGCATTAGAATCTATATCCATATCCAGGCACAGTTTTCTGGGTAATTTCAGCTCATATTTCAGACGTTACAAACCTCTGAAGAACTGTGGCTGCTTTGTGTTAAATTTGGGTTGAATTCTCTTGTGGTTTTTAGCAGTTTTGCAATAGAAGACACAGGGCCTCCAACCTGCTCTATTTCCCAAGCCTTTCAAGGTTTCTGTTTGAAGCTTGTGTGTCTGTGTGAGGAGTCAGGTCTGGGGCCTCTCAAATGGATTATTATTTTTTTCCCCTTCCTTTTTCTATTTGACATTGGTGTGGCAGGACTCCCTGTTTGTAGAACAAGAATAGCACTGCAGGAGCCCAAACATCCCTGAAATGCCCTGCAAGCCCCCTTCACCTGTGGAGCTCTCAGGCATTGCAGAGCCCAACACTTTGAGTCTCTGGGAAGACCTGGTTTTCATCACAGCCTGTGTGAAGCTTTCAGTTTGCTTATTGAGCTTGTGCTTCTTTGGTGCACTTCTGTTATCTACCCAAATCAAGTGCAACTTGAGAATCACAGCTGTTGCCAAGCCCTGCTGCTTGGTAGGGGGCAATTACAAGGTGGGGGGTGGGATGCAACTGGGCAGAGGGGGGAGGCACTGCATGGGAGGGCAATTGGATGGGGTGGGCATTGCATGGAGGCAGAAACAGGAGGTTTCCAGAAGTTCCTCAGGCTGCAGAGGGAGATACCCCAAATGGCAGGGCAGTCTCCAAACGGTGGAGCAGCAGGGGTGGGCTGGCCTGGGTGGGCTGGGCTGGTTAGAAATTGTTGTTCAGTCAAGTCTGGATCTTGTCAGACACGACCAGAGGGGATTAACTGGGAAGCAACCACGTCTCCATCTTCAAAGCTCAAGCCCATCATTTCAAGGATGCCCTTTGCAGAGAGGGGTGGTGATGTTTGTCCTGGTTTGGAATGTTGGTGGGAGCCTGGCAGTCTGGCTGGCACCCCAGAGCCTCCCAGAACAGATGCTGAAAATACAGTTTCATTGTTTCTGAAAAGGAAACTTATTTTTAGTGGTAGATTGCAGGTTTCTTTTTTAGAGCTACATTTATTCGATGAAAAGTACCCAACTGGAGTGGTATCTCTCTCTACTGGAGAGCACCAGTCCTATTGACTCCCTGGCACCAGAAAATAGCTTTTAAATCAAGTATTAACAATTATAGGGGTAGTCCTTTCTTCGTGGAATTGTTTAGCAGGAGAGAGGGAGAGAGAACTTCATCAAAGGCAGGGAAATCACCCAAACTTCTCTTTCAACTGACTGATGAAACTTTAATGAGGGGATTGATGAAAGTTTAATAAGGCAGCCCTGCTTCAAGAGTGTTACTCATCTGGGCTGGTGGAAGGTTTCAGCTATCCCAGCAACTCAGGTTTACTTTATTTTGCTGCTTTCCAGGGCTCTTTGGGGAAATTGCCTCTTCTTCTCCAAAATAAAAGAATCAAAGGAGAAGTAAACAACTTTTCTGCTCCTGTACCCTGCAGGAATCCAGTACAAAAGTAATTTTTCTCAACAACATTCGTTTCCATAAGAGTTAGAAAAGATGTTTTGGGGGGTTTTCCCAGCTGCCAACAGCTGGAATTAGGAATCAGTGCAGGCTCTGGGAGGCCAAGTGTTTGACCTAACCTAATGGTCTGTGTTAGTCCTCAGGTGGATAAACAATAACCTTGCATTAAACAGTTGGATTAGTCAGACACAGAAAATTTCTTTATTACTTTCTACTGTGACTGTGGCAGAATAATATGTTTTTCATCTCTCTGTGGTTGAGTGATCAAAACTTTAATATTTCTGGGTTGATTTGCCTGCGTGCCTGTTAATTACTGCACAGGCAGGTGTTTGAAGTGAATTCTTCTTAGCATTGACAGATACAGTAGAAATAATAAAAGGTGGTTTTGTGATGCTGACTGCAAGTGTTTGTTTTGCTGATGCAAAGAGCTTCTTTCCATAGAGCCACAGAAAAGTTTGGATTGGAAGGCACCTTTAAAGACCATCTAGTTCCAACTCTCCTGACATGGGCAGGGACATCTTCCACTAGACCAGGTTGCTCAAAGTCCTGTCCAGCCTGCCCTTGAATAGATATTCAACTCAGGGTTGAGATGTGTATTTTGTTGGCAAATAATTGTTTATAAAGAGTTCTGAGCAAAGCTGCCAACAGTTAGTGTACTAACAGCCTCAGGAGCTGCCATCAAAGTGGTTCCTTTCCAGACCCTCTGACCCACTCTTCCCCCAGTGCCAGCTGAGAGCAAACCAGTGCTCGGTCAAAACTTGGTAGGTGTCTGAAGCGCCCATGGGATGGAAGAGCCTGGGTGGGGTGTCTGGGCTACGTAGCTCTGTAGGGGAAGGTGATTTTTACCAGTTTGCTTGGCTGGGGTGGTCCTACCCAGAGCTGGGGGCTGCATCCCCCCCCAGCACCCCACGGTCATGCAGCCCCAGTGCCCAGATGGACCAAGAAAACGAGCTGCTACAAACTCGGGGAGCGCCCGAAGCGACGAGTCTGATCAAACAGGGAGTGTTTTGCAGAGTCACAGTTGGCTCATATTGCCTGAAGGATTTCCACATGAACTGAAAACATTTGCTAAATGACATAATAAGCTAATGATTGCTTAGTTTTTGAATACATAGCTGAGTGCAGAGCGAGCAACAGCTGGTGTTTGTCAAATTAGGTTTTCTGCTTAAGATTTCTGCTGCTTGTTTTCTTGTTTATTTAACATATTTAGCCAGGCCTGAGCTCTGAAGGTCTTCCTGCCCCCTGGGCTTGTTAGACTTAAAGGCAAAGGTTACATAGACTGGGTAGATGACTCCTGAGCTCCCCTGTGAAACCATTGGAAGTTTCCTGCATGGTGTGCTTTCAAAGTGCAGGATACCAATTCATAAAACCTGTGAGCCTCAGGAGTTCTGGTGCAGATGACGGGAGAGCAGCTGGGCAGGTAACGGGGACATTGGGTGGTCAATAGAGCAAGGAACAAAACCATTCAGATCTGAAATCAGAGAGCTCACATCTAGGAAAATTCAGAATATAAGGGTGGTCATGCGTCGTTACAAAGCTGTGGAAGCAGGAGAAAATGCCAGCCAACCTGTTCAAGTATTTGACTTTTTTATTGAGGTTTTTCATTTAAGTTTAATAACTTTGCACAATTTATGTACCACTCACTTCTGTCTCGTTCCTCCAGGTTAGAATGGTGTGTTCACATATATGGGGTGTTAATAGCTAAAAATGCACCAATCACAGACTAGGACTGTAAGAATAGGGGTTAGGAAAGGGGCTTTGAGACCCCTCAGAAAATATATATTAAAAATCTAGCTTCTCCCTAAGAGGACGTGCGAGCAGCCAGGTGGGAAGCACTGCTGACTTTTGTTGGAATTTGGAATGCTGAAAACATCCCCTGCAAGTGCACAGGTTTCCAATTAAAAAGAGCACCTGTTGTGTCTCCCCTCCCACAGGTGGTTGCCAGAGCAGCCTTAAAGCAGTTGGTGGCAATCAGAGCCTGGCACTGGCCACTGCAGCCAGGGTGTCGGTGGAGCCTGACCCTCCCCAGGGACCCCCAGCACCCACCATCCAGCCCTGCCACGTCCTGACCTTCTCCCCCATCAAGATTCCTGTTCTGGCTTCCCCATTCCCAGGTAAGGTCACTCCTGGTGGGACTGATGAGCAGCTCTTTAGGTCTGCTGGGCAGCAGGGAGAGGTTTCTGAGCGAGTTGTGCTGTCAGGGTGCTGTGGTAAGGGGGCTGTTCAGAGGATGGATGGGGCATTGCTGGGATCCAGAGTTAAAGCTGTTTTTTCTGGTGCTGCCAGTTCAAAACCGTGTGTGCCTTTGCAGTGTTGGTGTTGCTGTGACATTTTCAGGCTGTGGGTGGGATGAGCTGCATCCTTGGTCACCCTAATGACTTCTGCAAGGAAGCCTGGCCTTGGTGGCACCGAGGCTTTGTGGCAGATCCTCAGTGTTGGCAGCTGAAGAGCTCAGCTCACTGAAGACCTGAAGCACCCTCAACATGCAATGATATTTGGTTGTTTGCATGCTTACCACCTATGCTAGAAGGATGTAGCCATGATTTTGGATTTTTCTGATGGGTTTGGATGTGGTTCCTTACTGGAAATGTGCTCTTTTCAAGGCGTGTCTTTGTGTGTAACGACTCCCTGGACGCGGCAGCTGGGGAAGGGCTCTGGCATCCCTGGCTGGCTGGGGAAGCCTGACTGGTGCAGAGTCTTTAGGGTAATTTTTGAAACTGCTCTTAGAATGCTCAAGGCTACATTTTAGAAATGTTCTGTAGCAATTAAGTAAAAAATTTAGATTCCATCTTTTTGGTACTTGGAGCGTAACCCAGAGAGATGTGGCGAGATTGGATTTTGCAGGTTTGCAGTGATGATTTTCGGTGCTCAGCTGAGCTCTTTTCATGAGAAATGTATCTCAGTAATTATTCTTCCTGTTGAGCAGTCATTAGGATCCCCTGGATAACTGTCTGCCAGGAGAGTTGGTGCTTTGGGAGTCTGAAGAGCCCGCTGACCTGTAGGAATAAAGCTCAGGTCCTTCAGATTCCACTGGGAAGGATGGCACTGGAACAGGAGCAGAAAGTGCAGTTAATGGCTGCTGTGGGGCAGGGAGGAGGTGGTGTGTGGTGCCCACAGGGTGCTGTGAACCACAGGAACCATATTGCCTGTCGTAAGTGAGCGTCTCAGAGGGGACACCCCCCTTGTTGGCCGGTGCTGCAGAGCTCCACGCCAGGTGTGCTCTCCCTGTGGGGCAGGGGCTGATGCAGGAGCCATGATGTGCAGCTCGAGGGGAGCCTGGGTGAAGGGTGTCGGGCTGTGTCAGTACTGTGACACTGGGAAGCCCTGCTGCACTGGTGACAGGCTCAGCCCTGTCCTGATAAACCTGCCAGGCCATGACAATTGTTGCTTTCCTCCGGCTGAGGGTACAATAGGCTGTCAGGCATTGTGCTCAGAGTGCCTGAGCAATCATCCTGTCATCAATCATTCACAGTGAGCCACACACTTTGGGTTGTTTTCTCCTACAGAATATATAGTAGCTTTTTAGGAAAGAAAGCTTGAAAATGCCTGGTCTGTGTACAATAAACTTGAGATTCAGCTAAATGTTGCTCTCGATTAATCACTGGCTCTGGGGGAGGCTGGTGCCTTCACAAAGGCTTCCATAAAACATGTTTATGAAATGCCTTTTTATCCTGCCGGTGGAGCAGAGGACACAAAGGTGTTTGGTTTAGATTATCCACCCCCAGCACCGTGAACAGCTTCCCCAGGTGGTGCTGGGCTGGGAGGGAACATCTGTGTCCCCTGGGGCAGGGCTAACCCTGAGCCTGGGCTGGCTCCAGGGAGGTCCAGACACTGGGATGGATGATGGATGGGTGGGGGTTTCTGCAAGTGCTGCCAAAGGGGCTGGGTGTTTGGTAGACGTGAGTGATGATGGGCAGAAGGATGTGCAGAAACACAGCCAGTGAGGCACTGGGTTTGACTTAGACAGCAGGAAAGAGAGGTCAGTTAGCCAAAGGCAGCTCTCTGATGTCAAAATAAATGTCTTTATTGCCATGGGAGTTAATGGCTGGGAAAGCATCAAAAAAGCATAATCCAATGTGCAGGTAATCCCAGTTGGAGTGTGGTTATAAACCACAGCTTATAAACTGTGAATAACGTCCATGTGTTGGTGTTTATTAAAGATAACTTACAGTTCTCAAAGAGAAACATGCCTTGGAGAGAACATCTTCTGTGCCCCCTGTGGGCAGCTGCTCTTTTCTTGATCCCTGTGTGGTTTATGAACTAACATGTTAGTTAATGAACTTCTTGTGTTCCTGAACTTCACTCAAGACAATGTTCACGCAATAGGAATGAACTTTGGGAACAAAAGGTTAAATTACTTCCAACTTACATCTACCTGTGTGCAGGTGCCTGTCAGGCTGAGCATGGTGTGCTCCCTTACAGACTGTTGATTCTACTGGAGACCATTTGTGCTGGAATTCCACCTTGTGCTGAGCTGTGCTTCCAATTGCAGCTGTTTGTTCAATCAATAATAGTATCATTGAATATTTATTTTTAAGGAGGCCTTTTAATCACAGAATCCCAGACTGATTTGGCTTTGAAAGGGACCTTAAAAATCATCTAGTTCCAACCCCCCTGCATGGGCAGGGACACCTCCCACCAGCCCAGGCTGCTCCAAGCCCCATCCAACCTGCCCTTCAACACTGCCAGGGATGGGGCAGCCACAGCTTCCCTGGGCAACCTGGGCCAGGCTCTCACTACCTTTACACAAAAGAATTTCTTCCTAATGTCTAACCTAAATCTATCCTCTCCCAGCTTAAAGTCATTACTCCTCTTCCTATCACTACACACCCTGGTGAAAAGCCCCTCCCCAGCTTTCCTGGAGCCCCTTCAGGCACTGAAAGGTGCTCTAAGGTCTCCTTGAAGCCTTTTCTTCTCCAGGCTGAACAGCCCCAGCTCTCTCAGCCTAATATGGTTAATTTTGCAGCCTAACACTTTGGCTGGGTTACTTTCTGCCAATCTAATTGGTAAGCTTGGTGAGTTAGTAAGAAGTAGTAAGTTGGTGAAACAGGATGTGCCATCAGTGAGGTGTGCAGGGTGTGGGGACAGGATCCAGGCTCTGGTGTTTCTCCAGCCTTGCAGCAAAAAATTTGAGTTTCCTTGAAGAAAATTGCCAGGTCCCATAAGTTAAGGAGAACTACAAACATACAGAATGAGCCAATGATTTTTACAAGTTCATTTTAATATAATTTAGTTTATATTTAGTAAAAGGAAGTCGGAAGTGGAGCTATAATGGAGTACAGAATATCTGGGGAAATGAAAACATTTCCTTGTTCAGGATGCTGGGAGGGATCCCACTGGATCTCTGGTCCTGGGTATCAGCAGGTGAGGGTGGCATGTGTTGGTCAAGAGCAGGTGTTGCAGGTTTGCTGGTCCCTGGGCTCTGTGGTGGAAAAGCTTCTGTCATTTTGGCTGTTGGGTATTAGTTTGGCACCGGGCTGATCTGAGACCTTTTTAATGATGAAATGAATGTGTGGTGAGGAAGAAACAAGGCCTGGAAACAGTGAGGCTCCAGGGTGTGACAGAAAAAGGCTGAAATAAAAAAAAATTAAAGAAAAATTAAATAAAACTTGAGATAGAATGTGCAGTCAAGAGTCTATTTGAACTCAGGCAGCTGCTGGTGCTGGCTCCTCTCTCTGTGCCCAGGGAGATGGAACGGGAGCTCTGGGGTCTGGGCTTCTGTTCCCAACAGCTGGCAGAGAGCCTTCTCCTCTGCACTTGTCTGGTTTGTCATCTCTCTTTTGGTTTAAAAATAGAATGCAAATGGTGTGGGATACCTGGGGAAAATCCCTGAATTCTGTTCCATACAGTGGCTTGATTAGTTTCTGGACACATGTGGTTCTTGAACTTTTGCAGATGAAAACTGATGCCCCTTAGGCTGGGTCTCCAGGTTTTCTCCTCTTCAGCCACTCCTGTCTCAAAACTGCTGATCTTAACCATTTAGGAGCAGCCCTGTGCTGATTTGTTTTGTAATATACTTGCACAATTTGCACAATTCCCAGGTAATTATTAAGTTTTCTGCTTGCTGGATTGTAGGATTCTGTCTGAATTCATTCCAGCCTTCTCTCTCAAACTGCTTGCTGCATCAATGCCATTGTTGTTTACAAAAGTATCATTTATTTTTTTTCCCCTGATAGATTTTAAACAAAGTTTAACGTTTCCATTTTCCTTTGTTGACAGGATGTCTGATGTGCTTGCTTTCTTTTGGTGAGGTTTCCCTGGGCTCAGCAGGGTGCCTGTTACCATTCCCTTTCGGTGGGCTCTGCTCCCAGCACTGCAGCCCTGGCAGGGATGGGCTGGGCTGGGGCAGCTTTGGAGTTTTAAGAAAGAAGAGGTCAGTGCAGTGTCCTCCCCTGGGCAGTCAGAGCAGAGCCAGAGGAAATGCTGATTTACCACCCTTTGAGGAGGAATGTCCTGACTTTGATAACTAGGCTTCTTTCTGAAAGTGGGTGAAGCTGTCGTTATAATGAGCACCTGCAATGATAAAATGAACTCTTTGGTACCACTTTTGGTTGCTTTTAACCACTGCTGAGCCCCCAGTGGCTGGTTTGGGGGAAGGTCCCTGTTATGGTTAGCTGGTGTTTGCTCTTGGAGGTAGGGATGCTGAAGGCAGCAGCAGTTTTCATCTGGCAGCTTTTGGAGGATAAGATGTGGTTACTTTACCTTGCCTTTTAGCTATGATGATTTGAGATAAACCTCAACCAAGCTGGGGCTACAACAGCAGTCCTGGTGGCTAAACAGATGTGCAAGCATTGGCAGCTGAGTCATTCATCAGCAACGTCCTTGTGTGTCCAACCAGGCCAAGTGAATGTTCTCCTCAATGGGCTTCAGTCATTAGTGTCTGGTGGAGAAAAATACCAAACTTTCAATACTGGCAAATACCCTTATCCCTGGAAAAAGTCCTTGAGTAGAGGGCAGGCAGCTGGTGAATCTGACGTGCTGACTGGACACGTGGCCCTGTGACCTCTGGGTGCAGCCTCTGGCTGCTGAAAGTTTTGTATTCCAGAAGGTTTTGGACCTTTTCTAGTTCTTTTGTCATTTCATCCTTTCACAAAATCATCATTATTAGAAAGGA